ATAGATATATATAGCGAGCTATTTTACATTTGACGGAGCCATTGCACCCCGTTAAGAATGGGCTTTAAATGCAATTTAAATATAATTTTTTCTATATTTAATTCGTTAATGTTATTGTTGGCTATCAGGCTCAACTGCAAAGACGAAAAGTCCTTTTTTGATGAATCCATTAGTTCCACAACATGTTGGAGTCGAGCATTGACGGCCATGACTGTATTCCTGAACCCTGGTAACCTCCAAAGTCGCTAACAGCGCATGAAGTCGAAGTCTGAAATTCACCAAACGATAATTTTCATATATTAGACTTTACCGTATGTGATGCACTTAAAACTTGAATTACGCCAAACGTATCTAAACTACCTGTCTAACGGATTCAATGTGTGTTTGCTTGCAATTTTTTTTTCTCTAAAGTAAGTTACTTATATAAAAGAAACAAAAAGAAAGTATATATGCTAAAATATTTGGAACACTTTCTTGGACGCTTTGTCATACTGAGATTTTGTTAAATAGAGAGGGGTCGCCCAACCATGGTACGAACTTTATAAACACGGTCAGCGTAACAAACAGAATTGTCATATCGTTTATAAGTAAACTTTTTTCCACAAAGTGGTTAAAAAGCTTCCAGCTTCTAAGTCATTGTTTTGATTCACGTGAAGCATCCCTCTTAAGCTGTAGTTGTAATGTATTTGCTTCATTAACTCAGGTGCACGTAAGGTGGTTTAGGTTTAAAAGCAATGTGGAAACACCCTGTTTCCACATTGCTTTTAAACCTGTGGCCAGCTGTCTGAAACCGAACGTAAAAAATGTAACATTTATTTGACTCACGAGCCGTACGAGTCCAAGTACGCTATATAAAAAAGACCTTAATTTTTCAAATAAATAACGAACCTTTTTTTTTATAGACCCGTACTTTAAAGTATGTGTTAACACAAGGTTTGCATTGATGGCCACAAAATGGACTGAAAAACAATTATAACAAGTAAACATGGTTGATGGCGATGTAATTAAGGAAGTCTATAGTAAGATAGCTTCCAATACACCAAAAATACAACCAAGCAAATACATTTTTCAAAAACACGAAGCGAAACATCCAATTGGCCCTGGAGGCCTTGATCTGTAGTAATACGATTGAAGTTTGGAAAAAACACTCTGCAACGAACAAGGCTACAAAAATAGGAAAAGGCAATGCGGCACATCATTATTGAAGCCTTTCAAAGAGTGAACACGACTAGGTACGATTTCTAATAGAATTTTTACTATTGTGAAGGTAAGCTAAGGAACTATAAACACTATTTTACAGAGATTAGCTGTTAAATATGATTTTTGTTGGGATCGAATAATAACTGTTCAATAATTCTCCTTCAGCATCGAACAGACGCAAATTATTAGATATATGAAGTGAGTATCTCGACGGGTTCTGATGAACATATGCAGGAAGCGCTACTAGTACTCATAACTAAGGGCTTAAATCTATCTTAAACAAGCTGCAATGAATTGATTTGATGACCACTTTGACTTCTTTATGATTTGTTGTACTTTTAGCTGCACTAAAATCTTTACGGTTTCAATACTGTTATTATCTTGCAAATAGATTGCACTGGTGTATTCGAAGTAATACACTAATGTGCTTTTACGTGCATTGTAAAAAAGAAGAAATGCCGAAAAATTTTATTGTTTTGTCATCTCACGTAGCTTAAGTGGATACGGGAAATATCAGCGTAAGTTAGCCCAAAGTAAAATATTGAAATGCATTATTTAGTAACATTTATGATGTACTTGTGCTGTTTCCGAGACCGTTTATTCAGATAACGCCGCTCGAACTTGGAGCAAACGGCTTCAAATCAGAAAATTTTAGTGGTATACGAATAAAAGTTCCGTCTTAGAATGGAGGTAACTCGCTGTATAAACTTTGCATTCAAAGAACGATTTACTACCGGAACTATTTTAGCCGGTGATAGATCTTTTAAAATAATTAATAATGGCATCATTGTTGGCAACTATACGTGGCTGTAGTGTAGGTGTTATTCACTGCATTTCCTTAAGTCCTGGTTCGTTCATTAGTTACATACGATTCACGTTACAATACAAATGTATTGTCTATAATTGGAAGACATGATAAACAAACCCCTCATCAAGTAGTTAAGGTTACTGAACATACATCGAGTTCCCATACCGCAAAAATTACAGTCAACGCTCTCCGTCGTTCACTATAGTCCTCGTAATAGTGCAGTGAGCCAAGCTCCGTGCTGAGTCAGCCATCTAAAGAAAACATAATTTGCTTTTGGCGATACCCATTAGACATTCCTCCTACAGATTACCGTTCTTTAAGGATCTCGATAATTTGTTAATAGAAAACGCACTATGTACACATGTCGCCAAAACGTAATTCGTTGCAATATTGATTAAATTTGAAAATTTTTTTTATTAAATGGAAAAATCACGGAAAATAGCCGTATATAGTAGAAATTCATATGCTGTGGTGTTCAAAGATAATTGAACTGGACTTTCTGTTTGCATATGCAGTGGGGATTTTCCCTATCTTCGATGAGCTGCAAGAAAACTAGGGGTGGAGAAACATTGATCAAAAAAATATGTTGTCCTGCTGTGTTTTGCAGTGGCGTATAAACTATTATTGGCTTGTTATCTTCAGACGGCACAATTATCACTAGTCAAGAAAATAGGAGCCCTGTACCCACCGGTTAGTGCATGTGTCGTGAAGCCGCTTCATTACGTATAGTTAAAGACGTCCTCAAACTTTGCAGCTACATAATTAAGCTACCACCAATGACGAGTTCGGTAACTTATACTAATCAGTCGGATACGCGTCGGTGAAGACACATAATTTCGACACTCTTGTGTTGATAATACATTATTAGTAAGATGCCTGCATGATTGATCAGTCAATCCAAGACGTTATGGTGGTGTGTATATTACATAACAAATACGAAATTAGATTAAGATAGACCATATTGAATATGAGGCTCTTTTAACGCATAAACTAATGCATACTACATGATGGAGTAAATGATTTTGTGAAAAGTAAAAAAAATGATTGTTCTATTGAGGAAGGTATCTTCAATGTGCTAGCCAATTGAATTTTTCATAATAAACTGCGGTTAACGATAAATTCTGTCCTGGTGCCCATGATGGTATTAATTATCTAAACCAGCATTTCCAAGCATATAAGAATAAAAGGGGATCTTTGCACCATATAGATATAATTTTTATTACAGGATCTTCTTCGGTGAAGTCGTTGTTTATATAGATTTTAAAAAGGGTCAACTGACTATAGGTCCACTGTTTAACCATCTGTCGTTTGCAGTATCTTTGAAAATTAGACAGTTAATCATTCTTTTAGTAATTTACGAAACCTGGACCTTTTAAATGAAAAGCAACATCATTTGCTAAGTCTATGATTTAATTGATTCAATTGATTGAATTCAATTGATATGGTTTAAAATTGAGTGAACGATATTGAAAACAAGATAGTTGTTACTTCTGCGTATTTCAGTTTTCTTAAAGCTAATTTTTTTTTTAACGAACTTTTAACGAAGCAAACATCTCTAAAATTTAACTCGCAGTCAGTTGTATGGATTATCTCCACAAACGTGAATGATAGCTTTAGTGAATGTTATCTATTTCATTCGGGAGTTCTCCAAGAGAAGATTTAAAGCCTATTTTATTTCGTATTTAGGTTTTAGCTAACAAGTAGATAGTTTAAACAAGAGTTAGTTGTTAATTTTACATTTTAAAGTATGCTGCTCTATGTCTTCCTAACGTATATATATATATATATATATATATATATATATATATATATATATATATATATATATATATATATATACGTTAAGCTATACGGCGCGTATACGTTAAGCTCAAGGTGTTTAGATCCAGTCAGATGAAAGCGAGTCGCTCCAGCCACTTGGCGAAAGATTAGTCAAATCGTCAATGGGCAAGGTGGTGGGTTTGAGCCTAAATTGAATTGAATTACCGCTGAAACAGCCGAAAAAGGTGTCGCGGTGCTTGCGGGCGTTCATCAGTAGGAGTGATCCCAGTAGCCAAAAAAAAAATCGATTTGAGTTAATAGCACAAACATCGTAACGGTTGAGCAACGGCTCGAAAATATAAAGGATGATCAGACAACTTTGTTAAAGCAAAACCTGGATATCTCTCCATCGGGAAACATGACGTGTCTGAAAAATAGCCACACCATAATATGACTGATTAACAACGCGGACGGCTTTAAATCGTAACTGGCTTTAAACACAAATGTGATTTACGCAAGCACAATTTCGTTATAACATAGTGATAGCGAGGAAGACGTTCAGGATTGCTGACAACAACAAAGTTCGACCGCTAGCGACTAACGATTAACTGCTCAAGGGTATGATATATCCACCATAAACCGGAACCGGAAATATATTTATTATAACAATATATATTTTCTGCATCCGTGTACGTTACCGGACGCGATCCCTTCGTCCTGCACCTAATCTTTTCTTTGTAGGTTGGCGATAACACGCCACTGCCATGACCCGCGCAAGCGATTGGTATACCGTGCAACTTGTTTTCTAGCGCTTTATTTAGGTTCGAGCTTGGCCAGCAGTTTTCGAGACATGTTGGGCTATTGTCGTGGGATGCAGGAGGACTGTCTTCCTGGAATGGAGCGTCCGACGCAAAAGGGCTGCTCTTTCGGGGACCCGGCTCCGTCAATCAAGGCGGAACCCTTTTCTGCAGCTTTGATACAGAATGACCGAGTGTCTGAACTGATCGCGATTCTAGCGGGGGTTCTTCCGGCAAGACGGTTTCGATGTAATTCGAATCGCGCTGCATTTATGGCCCTTCTAACCATAATATTTATCGTGATCGCGACCGCTGGAAGCATCGTGTAAATAGGCGTGTGAACCAGCATTCTTGAGCGTGGGACTCGTCTGTTTTACCCATCCATTTGCTTGCGGGTGGGCTAGGACGGCCCTCAAATAGTGTTGAAACGCGCCAGATACCGCTGGACGTACCGGCCTCGGAAGCATCCTACATTATTTGTGACGATGGCGTCCATGAGTCCGTATAGATACCGAAGAGTAGAGGGCTTTTATACAGCACGAATATTGGCGTGTCGGGTCGGAAAAGTAGAACGAATACTCATCAGCAGGAGCAGAAGAGCTTTTTCCGCTACTGACTTACAAAATTCAAGTTGTATTGGGCGAAAGGGCATGTCAGCGATTCTATAGACGTCTTTTGTTCTCTCACAGATGCCAAAATTGCGAATGTACTTCATGCTCGTCTAAACATCCGTTCAGATGTGGCAAGGAGCCCGGCTAATCGTGAAACCCCGCCTGGAGACCCCGCGGCTTAAACGTTTACAGCGCGGCTCCCTATAGTAAAATCGGGCGGCCCTTCGATCCTTCGACGGTAAAAGTACCTGGCTATAATTTGAAGCACCATCTCTACTGGGGCCCAACGGTAACTGGTGCACTATAAGCCCATGCCGTCATTTAGTGAGTTTTCGCAGTGGCGCCACACACGTACACGAAAACAATCAGGTTATCGCTTACTGCGCTGCGCCGGTGCCGCACATCGAAATCATATTTCGACAGCTTCGAGGCTCTTTGGGCCATCTTAGAACAGGGGTCCTTTTCGTCATGCAATTTTTTACCGCGCTATTTCGAACGGCTATTAGGAACCACAGTTTACACAAATATATGTGGAATTTTTTCCACCTTTACACAACCAAATACTCTGGCGAATTCTAGTTCGTATTTTGAACTGAAAACGCTTACGCAAATAAGACTATTACGCGAACTGCATAAACACCGCCTCCAGGTAGACGCCGTTTTAGTCGATCTTTATTTTACATGGCATTGCTTCCCGTAAATGTTGCAAGATCGTTCTACTCGTCAGAGCCTCTTTAATGCCATAAATATCGTCTTGTGAGAGACCGTCCATGCCAAGAGGTCACCCGTTTTACTGATTCGCATAGCAATTTGGCGATATTGGGGAAATTCCATACAAACTGGCGGTCAGCTGTGACTTAGCACCGCAATTCACCTAAGAACCGGTTCATCAACCGCTAGAATGTTGGCAGGACATTGGTTAATGCGAAACAGGCATCTATTGAATATAGATCGTATGAGGTATAAAATGCAGTCTTATTTTTGTTACCGGATACATGGTAATCTGCCGATAGTCACTCGTCAAATCCAAAATGAACGAGGACATCGCCAACCCATGAGTTTTTTTTGTAGCCGTGCCTAGATTCCTGTAACCTATATGAAATCGAATATAACCGTGCTTCTTCACCAGGATGGCTGCAGAAGCTCACGGATTAGGTTCAAGTACGCGATCGTTTGACGTTTGACATATTTCCGGTACGGTCTGATTGACAAGATGCGTTACCTCGGCTTATAGAATAAGCGCCCTAGCTTGCGATACAGCAACCTCATCGAATACTTTTGGTAGGGCTTGTCCAAACAAGTACTGACATGAAACTAGTATGATATCCTTGGTTTCCGATTGGGTGAATGGTATGAGCTCGGCCTAACCTGGCATTATTTTCTGTATAAGCTAGCCATGTTTGAAGATTGGCGACTAAGATTTCATACGTTTCTTTTGGATCAGTAGTCACTGTGCAACACAGACATACGGGTGTACCTATAAGAGATGTATGCAAGGCTTCATCCACCTTAACCGCGAGACTCAGCAGCCCGATAGTCGCTAGCGTTCATTTTGATGGCGCCAATGATATTAGGTAATTTTTGTACATGGTGGGATTAGAACGATTCCGCATATACTGATACGTAAGACCTTATTTATATACTTCCTTAGCTATTTTTGCCTAGATATTCGTAGAAGTCGCGAGTATCATATAATTAGAAACAAGACCATACGTGTCTAGTGCTCTACAGCGTCAAACTTATCCAAATCAGTTGGTCGGAACGGATCCCGTTTGTATATTCAATCTCAAGGCTGCTGTCACTTGTGTTCGATATATCCAAGAAACACTAGCATGGGCTATAATTCTTGTCATGCTATCATAAAACGAACTAACGAAAACATAGATTCCTCAAGTATAGCCGAATTATTTGATTGCATTACAAAAAGGTAAAACTACAATTTCAACAGGGAAGTGTTTCATCTGTATCGTACGCATCAATTTGGTCTCTAGGTAAAACAAAATAAAATGGAAGTCTTAGTTTATGACATTTACCGCTAGACTAATGGAAGACTCTAAAGGAATCCAGTTTTAGCTAGCGAATGTAATGAATCAAAAGTCATTCTAATTCAACTTATTTCTATTTATTAACAACAACAACAAATCTTAAATGTGTAAGAAATAAAAAACAGATTATCCTTTTTTATATTTATGCACTCTCACACTTCTAACGGGAACAGTGATTTCTGCAGATTTTGACCTTTAATTTTAAAGTATTATATTCTAAAAAAAATTCTGCTCTTTTTTATTTCTGTAACATCCCTCGTCATAGTTCACGACTCTCTTTCATCTTTCGGTAGCAGGTTTCGTCTCAAAAAAGTTTGCCACCTATATTTTGACTTGTGGATCAGCGTCGAAGGTAAGACCACACAGGTGATTGCTCAGCGACCGCAAGAAATGAAAATCGATAGGCGCACGGTCCGAAAAAGGCTCAACAAAACCTCTCACTTGAAGTCAAGGGGAGCAGCTTTAACGAAAAAAACCCTGCTCCAAAGCACTTCCTGTGTCACAGGGCAGAGCCCTTTGACCTTGTTTGTCGGGTCTTTTTTAGCTCGGTTAATTCGACGAAACTGGATCACATAAATGTGCCAATCAACTTTCTGGGCCACAAGAAGCGATTCCCAGTGGATCAGGCCTTCGCAGTCTTACTAAATGCAAAACATAACCTCTTTGGGGTAAACATCTGGTTAAGCGCAAGGCCTTGACTTCTTTCCTGGAGCCAGTCATTTCAATGTCTACTTCTGGTCTATGTGCAGACACCACTTTTCATCGCCGGTAACAATTCTGTGGAAAAATAGATTGTTGTGGCCGTTTGATATCGGACAACATATTCAAGTGCTTCGTTAACTTCCTACTGAATTCAGAGCGTTCATGCAACGACGGTCGTGTGAGTGCGGTCATCTTTTCAACCAAATCCTGAATTGTTTGTGTTTGAATTTTTTTCAAAAGAATCTTAAGATCGTTGTCATCAAATTCAGACGGCTGGCCGGAGCGTCGGCATATCCAACTTAACAAATCATTTTTGAAGTATGACCATTTTAAACTTGGCAGACCACGTTTGAGCTCTCCATTTAGCAATAGCGTCGTTACTGTACACGCAGAAAATGTCCCGGGCTGTTTCGGCAGCCTTTTGGCTTGGACCAAATTGTATATAAAGTGTCAAAAACGCACTTTTCTCCACATCAAAGAGTTATCTGAAAATAACGCAATAGTGCTACAGGGCCCAGGATGAACGCATTTCAACGATACATTAGTAACAAATAACAAGTGGGAGGGAGGAAGAAAATAAAGTTTTTGTTTTTCTAAAAAATGCATGGTAATCATCATATTACTTCCGCGTCTCATAATGCCATTGAAAAATATGCGCTTAATGATTCACTAAAAACATTGCTATAAATTTAAACGCTTCGTATATTGCAATGCGCTTTTAAGTACGCTCACGAATGCCAAATGTGATAATTTCCTTAAGTTGGAAAATTAAGCAACACTTTGCGACCTTTTCCAGTCTTCAACAGAACAGCACAACATGCATTGATGATGATTTCCACAAAATAATCAATTCGAAAGGTATTAATGCAACATTTAGAACATAGAACAACACAGAATGAAACATTTAGATAGCTTTACGTACTCTCAAGAAATTCTTAGCAAGTTACATTCGAATCCACGATGAATATTGGCAATAATTATCCATGCTTAGACACAGATTAAGCAATCAAATAAATGTCAACGTAGTATAATCACAATCAACTTCGTAAGTTTAGCAAGAAGCTCGAGTAATGTAAATACAGTTGCCTACGTTTGGACTTGCAGAACTTGATTTTTAAAGACGTCTCAATTATCTCACCACCAGAAGCTGTGGCAGCCATATGCCATGAGCATAAAGTAAATGATATTTGAAAACCGTCATTTCCCTAGCAGTGCTTGCTGTACTACGCACTATAGAAGCGGCTTAGGTAAGTGTTTGTGATAAATTGTCCACATGGCCGTGGTCAAGAGTGTAGCGCTTACTTGTGTACACTGCACGGAAAAAAATACTTATTAACAAGTATTTGCACGTAGCATAGCCTAGATCTAGGATTGAAAAAAAAACAATTTGCCCTAACAATAGAATGCTTCTGTCTTTTATTATGCTTGAGCAAGATCAATGAATTCATTGTAGCGTTTAGGTCAACACATATTTTCCCTCTGACTTTAGTATAGCTTTGAAGGAAAGGCCTGGGTCTAAGGAACAAAGTTGAAAGTGTTATTTTGTAAAGGGAACTTCGATGCTTCAAATCGTTTTAGCGACTTACTCAAATATCTCACATATCAAGATATGTTTCACTATAACCAAGTTGTACAAGCACATACGGTAACGCTATATATCTAAAGTGGCTTGAAGCGAAACTTAACTATGCTTTCAAAGGCATCATTTCATGCTATAAAGAATTACAACCTACTATTTTGACCCGATATGGTTCTATAGGCTATCGGCGAGTGAAAATAACCTGTCCGTCGTGAAAAATCATACTAGTTACGATATAGCAGACTAGTGTCATTCTCTTTATTAAAAAAAGGTCCAGCTTTTATTGCGATACTTTAAGAGGAATCCCTTTTTGGAAATAATCAAAAAAATAAGCTCAGGTTTTTGGGTGTATATTGTACACATTGTCTTTGAATAATTTGATGCCTTTAAAAGTACCTTGGCTTTACGTGCTGTAGCCAAATGTATCATTTCCCATGTGATGCAATGAATTTCATATTTTTAGAGAGCTAGGTTTTTCGTATACGTACAGGCAACCGAGGCTATTCAATAGCTTGTTTTATCTGATTTTCTTAGCTCATTTTCTTTTTTTATAAAAAAAATAGTAGTGCTTGGTAGAAATAAAACTTACCCTAGCTGATTTTTAACTTTCAGTCTTCTATGTTAGGTCTCAATACCTCTGTTCGATGGTATGGCGAACTACAAACCTGGGTAAGAGGTGACGCTCCTGACGGGGCGCTAGTAACACCGGCCATGGAGACTGGCGGTATCGAAAGAGGACTACTCGTTGGTTGTTGCTGATGTGATCTAAGCGAATTAAGGGGCGGCAACTGGGGTGGCATTGCCGCTAATGGAACAGGTGATGGCGGGGGCCAACGAGAGTCCGGCCCTGCAAACGAAACGGAGCACAATGCGTCCGTTGAAACTGCAGATGGCATAGTCGGAACAGGAGGTGGTCCGAAAGGTGGTAACGCGTGCGACGGAAGTAGAGGACCGCCCATACTGACGCCGATACCGCTAACTGAAGAACGGAATACGGACGACGTCTTCTTGCGCTTCTTCCATTTGGCACGCCGGTTCTGGAACCATACCTGAAGTATCAAATGATGCGGGGCGTTGCATTTAAATACTTATAAACTTTTCACCGAAATGGAAATATATATGTTTGGTGGGAGGTAACGTCAACTTGTGTAAAAATATTTGGAACCATTTATTTAGTATTGATATAAGATAGCACAATCTCACACAAGTTGAAAACTATTACGCAGGAAATTGTTATTTGCTTGTATGCATTCAGTTAGGATAGGAAGATAAGAAGCTTTGCATTAGTTGGAAATAAAAAAAAATGTAAAGAAAATAAAACTTTTAAAAAAAGTTCCTTTAACCCTATGCAGATCATCGCCGTTGTCGAAGAGCTGTAGGAATAAACGCCGAAGGGACTTAATTTCTGTTTTGGAAAGTATGTGTGGTGCGCTTGGAAGCCCAAGTAACTTTGAAAAAACCTAGTGTCTTTTAGTGTCTTCCTGTTGAACCACCTCCAGATCGATCTATGTATCACTGCACTGATATAATTCTAATGGAATCCATTAAGGTAGGCCAATGTCGAAGTAATCGCTGGTCGTTTGGATGAAATGGATGTGCTATAGCACAGCTGGGAGGTCGAGAAATTTTCACTTCAAGAGACAGTGCTCCGTCATTATGTATCGCATGGGTTACATTCTGAGTTTCCGCGGCTGATTGGTATCTTGGCGTTTTCAGTGTAAAGTTAGGGTCATATAAAGGTATCGCACACTGCTTGCGCATTGGCTACTTAATGTTTACGGAAAAGCAAATCAGTCCGTTATCAATAAAAACTATATACAGTGCTGTGGCATTTACCAGCAAATAAAAGCAGGGGATTATAGTCTAGTGCTTCCTGCGCCACCGGATTCGACAATCCCTAATTTTGACGAAGTTACTCCAAACTAGTAGAAATCATAATGAAATGATTGATATATCCCTTGTGTCACATAGACAACCACATGCCAAAGCCTGCGGTACAGGGGGCTTCCCCCATGAATAGAAAAGTCAAAGGTTCAACAAAAATATTTCGCAGGGATGACTAATCGAAATTTAGCAAAAGGTTCCTCCTGCTTAATCTACTGGGCTGGAAGGATTTCGGGATTCGAAAGTGCCTGCAGATAGGCATGGTTAAGGTTTGATGACCTAATTTACCACAATATATTCTTGTAACAATAATATGAGAACAGAGCAAGTGACCGTGCATTTGCCTGTCACCAACAAAGACTTCTATGACATACAGTTTCAGATAGACATGCATATATTTTTCTTTAAAATAAAACTGGTCATGGACTCAGGCTGTCATTTTCGAGAGCTTGGTAAATCTCGGCAGTCTGCTTTCCATTACGGCGTCATGCACTAAGATAGAAGTAAAATTTTTTGCATTAAATACGAACAAATTTGTTTCTGAAGCACACATTCCAATTTCGTTGCTGTTAATAATCTTGACCTATGCGAATTCACAGTTACGGTTTGCGTTTCTAGCTTGATGTACTTGATCTGAGGAGAAAAACGAGTAGATTAACATATGATTCCCGCCGTTCAAAAACGAGTTCATAATCTGCATTTAGTTCTCATAGAATCGCTTATTACATGGCTATCAACGGCCGATATTAACATAAAGAAAACTTATCCGATGCCAGTTAACAAGGATCCTTCCTTGTAATAAATAAAAAAAATAACTTGTCGGTCTGCGTATTTGGACATATGCAAAAAATTTTGCTCGAAATTTCGGTAGAGGGATCTCTTCCTTGTGCTACAAGCGAGCCATTTGAGTATATGCTGATACAGTGTCAAACACGAAACGTTTATTTGTTTTAATTTACAACGATCCACTGACTAGTACAGATGAGTGAGAAATATATACTTTCATGGTTTTTCTTACAGCTATTATCTTGTTTTTATTCTTAACGGAACCAAAGCATAGGATTTTTTTTAATTGTCCTAAAACTTAAGCCTACGTATATGCATTAGATTCGTTTCATTCGAAAGGTACAAAAAATCACCGAAAAGGACTCGAAGGTTTCTTAGAAGAACTTTAAAAATGAACAAAACACTATCAAAACTTTCGAACTTCTCATGGATAAAATTTATTAGACTAAAAAGATATTAAACTTTTCTTCGATGATTCCGAAAGAAAGGCTCCTTCATAATTTATTACTGCGTGAGCCACAGCCATAGCAATGTGCGGAGGGGCATATCAGTTGGTGCCTTGAAATGTAGCTTCAGCAACATGATTTCTCGGGCCCATGCCAACGATAAAATCAAAAAAGTTAATATTATGTGCACGTTTAGGTGATACGTTATCGAATGCTGAATTTTCTAGAGAAGGGTATTATTATTGCTGGCTTGCATGTATATGGATTACGCAGAGGAAATGCTTCGGAGAGTGAGAGTAGCGAGGATTTTGCTGGTTGCAAGACCGTAGCTCACAGCAGGCTTATAATGGTATTGCCCATATCATAATATCCATGCGGTATTTCTATAACTACCTACGTAGCTGAGCCCGTCATTCAGTTAGCCAGCGGGACTCTTAGCTCAGCACGACATCGATATCTAAAGCAATATTCTTCGTCCCGGTAGCTTTGTCAAGTCATGTCATTATAGCCAACGACTTGCTCTCAATTTGATCGTCGCTTTGCAAACCGCTCCAAAAACGTGTAACTCTGTTGCAAGACACGAGTAGAAGAGAAAAGGACGTAGGAATTAGCTGAAATATTTATTAATAGCTGTTAAAAATATTTACTTTGCCTGCAAATGGAAATAAGGTTTTCTAAAGCTTATTTGCCCTACATATATATTATTTGGTTACCATCTACATTGAAAGTCAAAACGGGCGGTTTTCAAATGAAAACCATAATCAGATTTTATTTTCGTACATATTACCGTATTAAGATCATATTATCGTGTTTTCAATAAAGAAAGCGATATTGTGTGTACAAATAGTCATTTTCCATGTATCATTTCAACATATTAGGAATCCCGCTCACAGATCGCATAATTATTTAAAACGTTCTAAACGACACGAAAGAAAAAATAACAATACAGTTAGCGTAGATAAGTATTGTAGACCCTATTTGCACCCAAAGTATTTCTGTACATATGCATCTCAGGATATTTTTTATACGAGTTTACGATAGGTTAGGTTAGGAGCCCTCCATTGGGCTCCAAGTTTAAGTGATACTCGTTTTGTAAGTTTAGTTGCACTTTTTTAGTATTTCTTAAGATCTGGTACCCATTCTTCACAGCCGTACCCATATTTAGTGTGTTGCATACTAAGCAAGCTGGCTGACTAATTTGAATAATATACTAAGGCCTAAATCTGCCAGGACCATGGCTGTGAGCTCCTCAATTGCAGTCACAGTAAGTAAAAGTAGTTATTAAGATTTCGACCATGAGGATCTTTGAGCATAAGTTTGCACACTTTGTTTGATAAATACTCCACACAACAGTTTATTGTGTTGTAGGTTTCGCTATATTATATACAGGTCGTAGCTTTTTAATTTGGCATTCCAAATTTGTGTTCTAAAATAGCGATACGCCTGTTAACAATGTCCGTCTGCGAAGACGGTGTAGCAAGTTACCACTCCAAATCACGAATCAAAGACGAAACTGCATTCGATTAAATACATTAAAGCATGGTTGTTTTTACACCACCAAATATGTATATCTGGGAGACATTGTCTGATTCAAGTCATTTTTAGGCTTGCACCTTTTGCTAAAGGCGCGCGGTCAAAGATCTCCCTAGTGAACTCAGTTCCTAGTCTGTAGCTTACCTTAGTCCGTTAAAACCCACTGCCTGCGGGACGTTAGAAACATGTCCAATATATTATGCAAGCGCAAGTAATGTTTCTTTTTCTCTGTATCTTGGATTGTTTAAATGTAATAAGTCAGAAATGGCACTATGGACCTGGCAAATAGGTGATCAATTGGAACTTTTGAAGAAAGATGGCCAAACAACTTCGAAATTTCCCTAGAAGTAACGTTCTGAGCATTCAACTATCGGCAAACATCTTGTATCTACAAAATTTTGTCAAAAATTGGGAATCTGGGTGCCTTGGCACGTGTAGAACGTGTGGTGATTTTCTGAGATACGGCATAACTGACGAGAGCTGCAGCCACATAGCTTACTATAGTAATGTATACCATGAGGACATAGGTCAACAGAAACGTTTCAAGCGAAGAATAAAAATTTTCAGTCGTTACAGCCGGTACAAAATAAGCAGTTCTATAGATAACATATGTAAAATCTATCCTTATCTAGGGATTTAAGAGGGTAATGAAACGAAAAATATTTCGATTTATTATATCATTACATTACGCAGAAAGATAGATCATGTAGATAGAAAGAGAACAGGAAAATGATATGATCATGCTACAATGAGGAAAAAGTAAAGTGGAAGAAAAATAGAACAAAGAAAATTAGGAAATACAAAGAAAATAATGTTCATATGTTGATATCCAGTTCGTTTGAATATTGTTTAATTAGAGCCATGATTTGATCAAGGTGAAATATTTTCTTCTACATCCAACAGAAAATACACAGGACACTTTATAATTAACTGACAATCAAAGGATGTGGTAAACATAAATTTTTTTTTAACAAGAGAATGCTACTATGCATATTAGTAAGTAGGCATGATCTTTGCATTCCCAGAACAGTGAATAGAGCTTACGTCTCTGATGGAAACGAGTAAACCTTACAGCCCAGTCTCCCATTTGTTGGATTGTGGCTTGGGGTCACGATGGTATTACTTTAAACCGATTATGTCGTGCTACGAATAGAGTGTCCAGCAAGAACACTGTGTGCTCCCTTAGCGTCATTCGGCGTTCATTTAGGTGATCATCATCTTGTGATCGTTAGTAAATAGGTCCTCGTTAATAATCGAAAAAGCATAAGATAAAAAGCGTCATACTGAACAGAGATGCATAAAGTTTCGAATGTAAAGGTTGCAAATGGCCTTGCAAAAGACGACTTTTGCCAAATGCAAAAGACGACTTGAGCGGGTATATCTTAGGAGCTTATTTGAAA